CCCCCTACCCCGTTCCGACCGTACGCGAACGGAAGGAAGTACGACTGACGCGTACACACACACACACACACACATATCAATATATGTAGACGGGAAAAACAGAAAAGATGACGCGGGCGACGGGGCAGACTGCACGTCAGCTAATACGACCTTCCTCGCGCAGGCCTTTGAAGTTGAACGTCTCACGCTGCGGCACATGCGGCGGCGGCCCCAGCTCCACCTCCAGCGCCTTCAGGTGCGGCATCTCGCTCGTCACGGCGTAGCCGAGGGACTTGGCCATCGGTGGTGGGGCAGGGACCGGTGGGTCTGGCAGGTGTCGCGCCGTAAAGGCATCCGTGCTGCGAAAGACGTACTCGACAAGTGCGAACACGCTCATAAGAAAAATGGCATGGAACTTTAAGGAGGCGAAGCGTGCGCCGCGGGTGCCGCGTATTTTGCGGTGGTCCTTACGCTTCCACCACCTCTCCAGGTGGAACACCGTCATGGCGGGTTACGTGGTGACTGCTTAGCGGCGACTGCTTAGCGGCGTGTTCTGTTCCCGTCCCCTTCGTCGCAGTAACTCTGTCGCTCTGGCAGTTCAGGTTTGACAAGAGAGGCGCTCGACGCGTGCGGGACGACAACAACGCGGCAGAAAAGGGTCGATAGAGAAAGGGAAAGAGAGAGAGAGTAGTGAACGAAACAGCGACTAGACCGATGCGGCACCTTCGTTGATCAACACAGCAACAGGTCAGGGGGCACCTCTTTCTGCTGAACTCAAGTGCCAGTGATGGCGCGTACATTCACGGGGGTTTGACGGCATGCAAGAATGCGTCGGAGATGCGCGGGAGGACGAGAAAGCGCCGTCGTCGTTCAGGGAACATGAATTTCATTACTGGCCCACCCATCGAACGCGTGTTGCGCCGCTGACAATATCAGCAGCACCGCGACCAAAGAACACACTTTGCTCTGTTATAGCGTTTCTCTGCTCTTCTTCTGGTCGTCAAAGCATCACAAGTGAAGCGCTTCATCTTCATTCGCAGTGTTCACCTTCTCAGGTTGGCCGGGTCGCTCGTAGAATATATATATTTGGTGTTGTTTTGTTGAACACGGTAAACCATCAGTGCCGCCGCCTCGTAGTCCCCCTGCCTCCCACATACGCAACTCCTCTCTCACTCCTCGCTGTGAAAAGGGACAGGTGACTCCTGCGTGCGCGCAATCGCGGCCGATCAAACATCGTAAAACGCCATGTGAAGTTCGAAATAGAGAGGTAGAGATAGAGACAGAGAGAGGGAGAGAGAGTTGAGTGAACGATACACTTTCCCCATCGGTTATGCTGTTGTGAACCTATCCTTTTGACGTAGGTGAAGAAGGAGAAGGAACGACCCAGCAAATAGAGAGGTGGCCCTTTCATCCTGATTTGTTGCACCAATGCAGCCGTGCAGGAGGGGGCCGATCCGGCCTCTTGAAGACTGGTGACTTGTCTCCTTTTCATTGCCACCGTAGCGACTTACGCGGGTTTCCTTTCGAATTTCGATGGAACGAACGCGTATGTGCGGCGTGGTGGCGGGTAACTGCAACTCGTACGCGCGCGCATGCGTGTGTACGTCGGCGTATAGGAAGCTCTCGAGAACCCGCAGGAGGGCATTTTCTTTTCCCAGCAACAGCAACAACCACAGCAAAAATTGCTACGTAACCTTCGTCACCATTTCGATGACACCGCCAATGCTCTGTTTCAGAGATGGAGGTTGGCTACGGTTCTTGCTGTTCTTTCGTGTTCTTTCATTGTCTTTGATCAATGTGCATACGATATATAGCTCCTCAGGAGCGTCTTTCTCTTCCATTTTTTTTCTTCAAAATAAAAAAGGGCTTTTCAACGTGCTCCCGATACACAAAAACATATAATTAAAACAAATAATAATAATAGAGGAAAAGGGAAAGAAAAGAAAACTCCTCGAGCAATCGCAGTTCATTGCTTTATATGTATATATAGAGATATGTAGAAGTCGAAAGATGTGTTTCTTTTTTCCTTTGGCTGTTAGATAAAGAGAAGGCCGTGTAGTCGTGATAATAATAATAATAGAATCAAAAAAGTTAAGAGACCAAACAAAGCACCGCGCAAGACTTGCGCAGGCAAACCCGGAAACGCTGCCTGAGAAGAGGAGAAGTCGTAGTGGACCTGCCTGAACCACCATAAGTAATAATAATGGAAAGGCTGCGTAAACCAGTGTGCCTTCCCCAGCACGTGGTGTCCACGCACCTGCACACCTACCCACTCGCACACAACAGACGCTTGCAATACAGCACACCCGTTACATCTCTATAGGGCTGCATGCCAATGTCGTTCTTGTGCTACGTAGGAGACGACGCGTACGTGCGGCACCGTTGCGCATCCTTCAGGCTTTTCATTTTGAAAAAAAAAAAATACCAACAACAACAACAGCCGATATGTTTTCTTTCCCTCTTTTCCGGAGCTGCCGGCAGACTTGCACGCTCGCGCAGAACGAAGTGGAAAGCGTAGAAGGGTAGTCATGTCGAGAGCAAAAAAAAGAACTATCATGAGAGGAAGTTGCACGGCGGCGTACGCGCAGTGCCGCGCAGTACACATATATAATATAAACTCAGCAGCTGTGCATCATCGTTGCACCTTCCTCCTTCTTTGTTCACCACAATGGAAAACAAGCGTTACCCCCCGGTTTGACTATCCCCCAGCTTCCATCCTCCACTCACAGCGAGTTAGAAAAAAAAAAGGTGGTTTAAAGAAAACCACAGTAGACAAGAGTCACATAATGCCCTTTTCAGTGCTTGCTGAAGTAGCCCGACACGGACTCCTTCGGGTCCGGCTTCATCGTGGCGCTGCCGGGCTTCCAGTTCGCCGGGCACACCTCGCCGTGCTTCTCCACGAACTGCAGGGCCTCCACCAGGCGCACAACCTCCTCCACGTTGCGGCCAACAGGCATGTCGTTGATCGTGATCTGGCGCAGCTTGCCGGTGGGGTCGATGATGAAGACACCGCGGTACGCAACGCCGTCATCCTCTTTCAGCACACCGTAGGCGCGGGCGATCGACTTGGTCTTGTCCGCCAGTATCGGAATCTCCATCGTGCCGAGGCCGCCCTTCTTGCGATCCACGGACGTCCACTGCAGGTGGCTGTACTCGCTGTCGCAGGAGCACGCGATCACCTCCGTGTTCAGCTCCGCAAAGCGCTTCGCGTTTTCAGAGAACTGGATGATCTCCGTCGGGCACACGAAGGTGAAGTCCATCGGGTAGAAGAACAGCACGACCCACTTGCCCTTGTAGGACGCGAGCTGACCTTCTTGAAGGTGCCGTTGGGCATCAGCGCCATCTCGTTGAACTCGGGCGCCGGGTGGTTCAGCTTGGCAGCACCGCAGGACATCTTGACTGAGAAGCGAAGAGAAGGGTTGTTCGGGAAAGAAAAAGGATAGTTGGTGAGGTGGATGACTGTGTAGAACAGATAGATCGAGGGGAGCGCGTGAGGATCTTTGCCAACAGCGCAGATGGGAAACGAAGGAGAACGGAAGAAGCGGTTGATGTAACGCGCAGAAAGGAAGAGAGCAATAAAAGTTGAATCACGCGAACGAGGAATCAAACACGACGTCACACGCGCAGTGTCATTCGAAAGGGGAAAAGGGAGAAACAGGAGAAGAGAAAGCAACGGTGATGTCCAGAGATAGACGTGCTTTGAAAGAGCGTGAACACTGCAGCACAGCAGCGTAACTTGCGTGTACATGCAAGGCTGGCTCTAGTTTAGAGCCGCACAACGATAACTACAAAAAAAACCCGAGCTTTCATCTTCAGATTCAAAGCGTTTCCTGGTTTGCTGCAGGTGTTGTTTTTGTCGGACGGTGGTGATGCAGAGGATTACCGGCCCAGTGGGGGAAAGAAAAATTGGAGAGGAAAATCATCAACGCCACTTGCGCTGCAGCAGTGGGGCGTCAGTTCTCCGCTGCAGAATACCGAAGACGCAACACGACCAACGACGACATTAACAATAATAGTAAAAAAAACCGCGATGCCTCGTGAGAAGGTGCGATGCGCCTTTTCTGATATCAGTATTATCTTCTACGGCGTGGTAGAGGGCGGCGCAGGGGGACTAGTAGATCGGCTACGGGGACGCTTCGCACCTGCCATGGCGGAGCTGGCCGTCCCATCCGCCTCGTGTGCCGTCGCATTCATCCCCCGCGTCGGCCCTGTTGCGGACGCCGACGGCAACGGCTGTAACGCCACCGCCGCCCCCATCTTGCGCACCGTCGCGGTGGCGAACTCCGGCAACACAATGAGTCGGTGGAACTCCGCCGCGAGCCGCGGCAGCACCTTCTCGGCGACGCGCATGATCTTCTGCACGCGCTGCGGCTGCAGGTGGGCGCTGGAGGCGAAACTGGAGTAGAGCGTGGCGGCCGGGGGCTCGGCGGCGGGGTCGGGTGCTGCGGTGGGTTTGTTGCCCCATCGCAGCTGCGGCGCCGTCCGCGCGAGCAACACCGCCATCACAACCTTCTCTGCCTCAACCAAAAGGGCGAGCTCCGCCGCGCCTGCGTCGTTCGTCGCCTCGCAGTTGCGAATAGCCTTAAAGAGCGCCAGACAGGGCTGCTCGTACCGCACCAGCGGCAGCTGCAGCAGCTGCAGGTAGTAATGAATTAAGTTGGGCACCATCTTCTTATCCAGCTTCCCCACCTCATCTCGCAGGTTCGTTTCCTCAATCACTTCGCGCCGGCGCGACTCGACATCCTTTAGCGACGGGTCCAACACACGAACTTCCCCGAGCGGGATCGGCTGCCCATGGCGCTCCGCCGCGAGCATCAAACACGCAGCCGCCACCTCGGTCTGGTGCTCGACCCGCACACTGCGCTCACGGCGGTGGCCTACAAAGCGCTTCGCCAGCGCCATCGCGTCTAGCAAGATGTCCTCATCGTGGCGTCGCGACAGCCGAAAGAGCGCCTCCAGCGCGCGGGACTGCCGGGGGTGCAGTTTCGTTTTCTCGTACTTGGCGGCGTCAAAGGAATCAGTGGACTGCGTGGGGCGGCGCAGCAGACCGGCTGCGGCTGCGGCGGCCTCTTCACGCGTGAGACCTGCGTTCTTCGCCGTGGCCCGACCGCTCGAGCCGCTGCCGCTGTTCTCCGCGTCACGCCAGTCCTCGCGGTCCGCATCGGCGAAGGTGACGTCCTTCTCCCAGCGGGTGGCGACACTCTCTTCCAGGCCCATGGCGATCACGGTGGCACACGCCGTGCAGGCCGCCTCGCCGCGTGCCTCGTCGGTTTCGATGCTGTCGATGGCACCGCAGTAAGGGCAGTTCTTGCCGACATAGTCCGCCGTCGTGGCCATGGGAAATACTAATGAATAACAACAGTAGTGGTAGTAGTAGTAGTGGTAGTAGTAGTTCCAAGACAAAGCAAAGTACCGTTTGGTAATCAGTGCTTTGAGGCGTCAACAACGCTGGGATCGGTGTGTCTGTGTGTGTGTGTGTGTGTGAGCGGCGCTATTATGGCAGGTTACCTTCGATGTGCATTCGAGTGAGCTTCCAACACCCTTTAAAAAAAAAAGGAGAAGAGAGTCGTAGAAACATCAGAAAGAACAAACATAGTAAGAAGAGTTATAAGGATAATAGAAGATGCGGCACTTCTTGACTCGCGGGGACGTGACAGAATGGCGTGGAAGATAGTCAATATATATATTTGATGAACTGCGAATATCAGGGAAGGGAAAGGAGGAGAAAGAAACCTCCCTCTTCGTTCTATCTCGGGGGTGCATTCTCAAGAAATCGTAGAAGACGCACACACCCACCTGCTGTAGTTCTGCTTCGCGCACCGCCGCGTCTACGTATGGAAAGAGTACACGCTTTCACGCCCCACAAACAAGAGGGGGAAAGTTGCTTCCTCTCCACGTTATCAAAGCAGTCTCACCAAAGGTTTTTCTGTTCATCTTTTTCCTTTTACTTACACTAAGTTGAGCAGCTGCTCACGCGTCTCCAATTCCTTCATGTACAGTTGCTGTACTTGCACGTCTTCCAATTCTGTCCCGCCCGCAGACGGACGGTGAGGCGGAGCAGCAGCAGCAGCAGCAGCGGCTTGCTGCATGGGCACGATCTCGCTCCCAAACGTGCCCTCGTCCGCGTCGAACCAACCAGATGAATGTGGCTTCTCCTCCTCTACCAGAGGCGCCTCGTTAACGGGGATGGACCGCGCATGACCCGGCCCGGTTGTCCCGCTCATCGCATCCACCGGTGCTTCGCCTGATGGACGAGACGGTGATGATTTGCCGTGCGGGGCCGTCAGCAACGGAGTCTGCTGCTCCTCCTCCCTCTCCTCTTCGTCCGCCACCACCGGTTGGGCAGCGGCGGCGTTGTGTGCTGCGTCGTCCTCGTCGCTCCACCCCCACACGTTGTCGTTGTTGCTCTCCTCCTTCTCTAAAACAACGACATGGTCAACCTTCTTCGCTGCTGCTGCCACCGCCGCTGGTTCGACTTCTGTGTTCATAAGTTTGGCTTCCACACCTTCTTCTCCGCTGCCGTGGATGCTCTTGCCACCGCTGCCGTCGCCAGCCCACCTGTCGGTTGGACATGACGCCGCACTGTATGCTGTCTTCTGCTGTGCTGTGACGGTAGTCGTTATGCGACTGTCTTGCGCCTCCATAGCGCTCGTCACCTCTGCCGATCGATCCGTGGAGAGCGACGTTTCAGGGTCCTCCCGGTTTTTGGAGATGGTTTCTGTGGCGGCCGCCTCCACGGCGGAGAGAATGCTGCGCACCGGGTTGGGCGTGGCCTCCTCCGTATTGGAGGGTCGCGGTGTTCGTTGAGCGGGGCATGTATGCTGCGGTTGCTCACGTGGTAGTGCTTGCAGAGGTGGGAGTTGGTGCCATCGTGCCACGCCTGCGTGAGAGGGCGGGGCTGCCTCCTCCGTCGACGTCGTTGATGTCCCTTCTGCGAGCAGCGTCGCGGCGAGTCCTTTCCTCTTTACCCGTGTTGGCTTGTTCGAGGGCGGCTGCTCGCGCAGGTGCCGCAGTGGGCACGACGGCACCGTGGCGTTGTCCGCCGCTGCTGCGTTTGCTGAGCCGTGCAGTGGCAGAATGCGGCGAGAGGTAAGAGGTATGACCGGCGGAACGGTTAGTGGCAGTTCGTGCGGGTGTGCGTGCGCGGCGGGCTTCCTGGGCCGCACCTCCACCACGTCGTCGCCACCATAATCCGATCCCCAGCCCCAATCATCCTTCTCTTTACTTCCTTTTCCCACGTCCGCTGCTTTTCCAATCGGCGCGGTCTTCGCCGCCACACGCGACTGCGGAACAGGCAGCGGTGGAATCGATGAATCCCTCCACGGCGCTGCCGCGTGCGAGGCGTCCGTGTTCTCTGCGTCATCGTCCTCCTGCTGCTGCTGCGCCCTGCGGCTGGCGGGTGCGGGCGCCACTCTCTCGCGCAGCGCCGTCTGCCAGCGCGACAACGTACCAAATAAGTTGCTCGTGCCGACCTCCGTGGCAGCGTGCGCCAGTCCGGTTTGCAAATACGACTCCTTCTCGTCTTCCTTTACAGAGGTCGGTTCGACGTCTTGTTGCGTAGAGGGAGCAGGGACAGGGAGTGCGGCCGCCGGCAACGAAGAGGAGGCCACCGCCGCAACCGCAGCATCCACATCACCACTCCTCTTCCATGCCTTTTGTGCACCGCTGCTCCTCACCGGCTGGGGTGCTGTTGAGGAAGCTACCCCTCCGACGCCGCTCTCGCCTCCTTCCTGCTCCATGCGAGCCCACTCGTCCTCCTCCGCCTTCCAATACGCGTCTTCTTCCGCTTCCACCGCCCGTCGGGCGAGCTCTACGTGCGCCGTCGCAGCCGCCACGCTCAGCGCATCCCGCGCATCCTGCTCGAGCAGCGCCACACCACGACGACCCTCGTCTTGCAAAATCCATATCTTTTGCTCCGCCTGCGCCGCTGCCAGCAGGGTGGCGCGGTCAGCGTAGGCCACCGCCTGCACTCCTATCCGCGCCTCGTGCTCCTCTTGCAGCAGGCGATGCAGGGCGAGCCGTTGACGCTCACCGTAGTCCACCCACGCCTGTCGCAGCTCGCGGCGGCAGTGCCCGTGCAGGAGCTGTTCGGCGCGACTTTCAAACGCGAAGATGAGATCGAGCTGATCGAGCGCAAAAGAAACGAGCTCCTTCCGACGCTTCTCTGCGCGCATGGCGAGGTAAAGATCGACGAGGGCGTGCTGGAAGGCTGGGCTGGCGAAGAAGTCATGCTGCTGTGCGGTGAAGAGCTGACGGGACAGCTGACGCCGCAAAAAAGCCTCTTCCTTACCCAGCAGCTGGATGGCTTCTTCCGTGTCCAGCGAGGCGGAGTGCGCCACCGCGTCAGCCATCGCCACCGAAAGACCACGGCCTCTTTGTATTGTGGAGGCAGCTTCTGTCGAGGCCTGACCCGCCAACGGTGATTTCCTTTCTTCCTCCGTGAGAGACGCTGGATCTGGTGTTGGGGCACCGGTAGTGGTGGTAATGGTGGAAGATGATGAGAGCGCGGTCGAGGAGTTGCGGGTCTGCTGCCCTCTCCGGGAAGGGGCTCTACCGCCGATGGTGTGTAGGAGGGTAGAACGGAGGGCACTGCCCGCCTCCATCCACGATGCACCGCCACCACCACCGTTACCGTTGCCATTGCTGTTGCTGTTGCTGCCGGTGTTGGCGTCTCTGCGCTGTCCCTCAAACGTCGTTGGTTCAGCACGCGAATCCCTCGTTGAAGTCGCGTTGGGCAGCGCCCTCAACGAAGGTGATAGGTGCAGTAGAGGCCGCTTGTTCTCCGCGATGCACTGCTCCACGCACGCCAGCACCGCCGCCTCCGTCTTGGAGCTTGTGGGGGTAGGGAGGAGGAGCGCAGCAGTTCCCTGCTGTCGCCACTGCTGCCACGCGTGATGGACGTCCGACTCGGTGTACGCGGGGACGCTCGTTTCTTTCGCTGTGGGTGGACTCGGTTGCCGCTGCGTTGCGTTGCCGCTGCCACGAGTCCGTTCACCGCTCTCCTGCAGGTACTCCTCGACGAAGTCGCTTGACAGGACGAGCAACACCGTTTTCTGATCCTCCACGGCGAGGTCGCGGTACAGGGGAGCAACGACGTGGTGTATCCACCGCCGCACCAGCTGAGCGCGAGAGGCATCGGCACGAATAGCCGTGGTGGAATGTCGCGCAAACCCGACGGCGTCTGCACGCTGCGTGCCCGCTCTCGCTTCGACAAGGAAAAGTTGATGAAGAAGATCGAAGACGAGCAGCAGCACGACGGAGTGGTAAAGCGGAAAATTAAGCCCTTCCACCAGCGCCTGCGTCACCGGTTCCATTGCGTCACCGAGCGCGTTAATAAAGGCCTTCAGCTCTCGCGCAGACGCCACGAGGCACCACTCCTTCGCTTCCACTGTCGACGACGGTGCGTCGTTGCGGCATTGAATGCATCGAGCCAGCAACAGCTCCGTTATCACGTACGTGCGCAGCTCACGTCGAATCACCTCGCAGCCCACCGTAAACCAACCCAGATGCCTTAGGGACCGCTGCTGCTGCTGTGGCTGCGGAGGTGGCTTCGATAGTGAGGCGGACGCTGCCATGAAATAGGCAGCCATCGACGACAGGTAGAAGTGTGCCAGCTCCAACGCGTCCTCCGTACCCGATTCGACGCGTTCAGTGCTGCTGCTGCTGCTGCGAGAGGTTTCTGTGGTAATGGCGGAAGACGTCGAGTCGAGAGGCGGTGCCGTAAAGGCCGCGCGCTCGTCATCCGATGCGTGCGTCCGCGTGGACGTGCCCGGTGGAACGTGGTGTTGTTGCTGCTGCGAAGCCTCGACGCTGCATCGAAGTAGTCGTCGCTGACGCACTGCGAGGTCCACGACAGAGGGCTGCAGTGGCAGCAACAACGCGAGGACGCGGAACCGACGGTCTGCACCGCCGCTGCTGCTGCTGCTGCTGGTGCGGAGGGAGGTATTCATCGGTGCGTCGTACAGTCCCACGATGCGGCCCAGTAGTCGCCGGGCACGTTCGCACACCTCGCCAGCGCAAAGCTGCTCCAGCTCTCGCCCCTGCCGTGGGCTGTCCGGCGACCTTCCTGTCGCACCGCGCCACATGAGAGGTTCGTTGAATTGCAAGAAGCGCTCCCGCGTCGGTTCACACGTCCCGTTTCTCGTGCCTCCGTGCGAAGCCGGTGCAGAGACGGCGTCGCCAATGGGTGGATCGCCTGCGAGTTCATCAGCGAGGGCGAGTTGGAGCAGCAGCGGGTACGCGTACATCAGACACGGCCGCAAAAGAGCGAGGGCAACTTTGGCAGAAGCAGCAGCAGCGGCCCCCATTGTGGCCGAGCTGACCTTTTGCCTCACCTGGGCCAGGGCAGCGTACAGCTGCTCATGGACACCAACGTCCGTTACGGCCGCCGAGTCGCACAGCAACACGTGCGCCACAAGTTGGATCAACCACGGCGCCACAAGATCCGATGACAAAGTGGCGCGATCGCCTGCCTGCGATGCGAGGGCCGTCGTGGCGGTGTTCGCCTGACGCACCGCCGCATCGATCAACCAGGTTGTTAGGGAATGCTCCAACTGCGCCTGCGAGCGTGTGTGGGCGGTGGCACTTCTTGTCTCCCGCTGCTGCGACGCCGTCTCCGGTCCGGCGGTGGCACGCCACAGCTGCGCGCGCAGTACGTGTCCGCTGCCGGCGCTTGCGTAGACAAGATGCAGCACGCGCATGAGATCCGCGAAGCGAGGGCTGCGGGCCAAGCACCGCTCTCGATAGGTCGCGGCGGCGTCTTGCTCACTCAACGGAGGGGCCCCGAGGGGCAACAGATGCTGCCAGGCAGCAAGAAACTGTGCACACCAAGATGGTGATGCTGTTAGCTCGCTCTCCTTACTACCTCCCCCATCTTCCACGCCACCGTGATGCTCCTCCAAACAGGATGGGTAGACCAGCTGCATGGCGGCGAACAGTTCTTCTGCGCAAAAAGGGTTGTCCTGTGTAAGGCAGCGCAGCACGCAGAGCCCACGATGCAGCCCTTTGAGCTGAGGCGCATCCGTGCCGCCGCGCTTCGACCACACAGACAAGCCTTCATCATCTTCCTCGTCCTCATCTCCGTAGCGCACGCCCGCCTCGGTTAACGGCTGCGGCAGCAGTTTGAGGGCTCTGCATAGGCGGTCCACCACGTGATACCACACATACACGGTGAGTAAGGGTGGAAGGAGGGAGAAGGGAAAGGGAAAGGTAGCCGTGGCAGAGTCGCAGAGGGACAGCAGCGGATACACAGGCACGCGCACGCCCGGACTGGAGGCGGCAGACGCACCGCGGCACTCCCCTCCCTCCCACGCATCCAGCGCCGCAGCAACAAGCGTCTCATAGCCCTCCGCGGTGCTCGCCGATGTGCCGGTGGTCACCCGCATCGCGACATCCACGAGGAGGCAGACGAAGCTAAAGCCGAGCGGCGCCGCCTCGTGGATCTGGGCGGCGGTCCACCCAACACCCACCAGTGAGTGCAGATCCGCCACAGTGAGGAGGCCGTGCAGCATGACCGCCTTCACAGGTACGGCGGCGGCGACGGCGGCGGTAACAAAACGACTGTTTGTGGTGCAGGAGAGGTCGTGCAGGAGGCGATGCAGCGCCGCGGGCCGCGCCATGCGCAGCAACGCGTATTCCATCGATGCCTGCCACTCCGCCATGTCGGCTTCACTGTGCGCTTTCCGTGGCAGAGGACCGGCCGGCGATGCTCGTGCTTCTTCGTCAGCACCATCGTCTTCGCTATCGCTCCACCCATCACGCGACGACTCTTCTGCCGCTTTTCCTTCTTCACCCGGCGCATCCAGGTCAACTCCCGCAGCCGCCACCACGTCCGCCAGCGTCAGCTCCAGCGGTCGCTGGCAGCAGCGGCACGTGTAGAGAAGCACCATCCGCCGCAGCCACGCCAGGACCTCCTCCGACGCTCCGAGCTGCATCAGCACCTGCATCGCCCGTCCCTCCGCCAAAAGCGTCCTTGTGCCGCTTTCATTCTCGCTTTCTTCTTCCTCCGCGGCGGCGACGACGGTGCTGCGGCTGCGGCGTGGCTGCGGCACGGCGGCGGCCTCCCCGAGAAACCACCGCGCCATCCACTGCCCACACCGCCGTCCATCCACATCGCCGGCGCGCCAATCCAGCTCGATCAGCGTACGCAGAACGAGACGCAGGAACACGACGGCTGCCGCACGCATGTGGGTTAGCTCCGCCTCCCTGCGGGCACTGTTACCGCTGCTGCTGCCGCTGCTGCCCGACGCAAGACCCGCGGAGACGAGAGATGCGACAGCGCGGGCGTAGACGTAGAGGCGTGTGCGGTGCCGACCCGCGTCGGCCGCCGTGTCGTGCAGCACATTCATTAATACCTGCGGCCAGGCAGGCGGAGGAGGAGGAGGACCGTGCGTCGCACCCATGGTGCCCAGCAGCGCGTGCGCCCACAACATCTTCAGTACCTTGTACGTGGACACAATGGCCACGGCGTCTGCGTCCTCTGCCCTGGTGGACGAAGCAAGCGGAGAATGAAGACAGCGAGACACAGTCCACTCCGCCACGTGCGCTTCCCAGTCCTCCGTGCCGGGCGCCGGAAGACACGCCGCCGTCGCCGCCGCGGCCGCCGGAGCAGCTGCAACAGGGAGGGCGGCAACACCGGAGGTCGTTGCTCCAGTGCCTGCACGTATTTCTGGTCCACCCATGCCGTCCGAGACGTAGTACCACACCTTTAACTCGCTCGTAAGGGCGTTCCTCTTCGGCAGACAACACGCGACGCTGGCGGTGGCCGCGGCGACAAACTCGACCGCCGTGTTTGTGGCGACGGACGGAGGAGACGAAGAGATCATTTCGCCCTCTGCGTCAATGCTCTCCTCCTCCTCCTCTCCCGCCTCTCTCTCGTCCGCGATTGCATCAGCGCAGGTGCCTGCCCTTGGCGTGTTCGCCACCGCGTGAGAGGCGCTGCTGCCCGCGGCCAGGAATTCTGCCCAGCGATCCAAATCCGTCAACGCCCATGAGAAAAGGTCCTCCATAACGTCTGCATTGTTTGTGGTGGAGTAGGCTGCCGGGGGTGCTGCAGCTGTGTTGCCTGTAGCGGCGCTGTAAACTGGATGAGCTGCCTTCGCGGAGGTCGGCACCACAGGCGTTAAGCCGCGCCAGAGTGTCCGGGCGAGGGGGACACGGTGAACAACTGCAACCGAAGCAGCACCCGCACTTGCCGCTTCATTCCACGGCGGTGTCTGGGTGGTGTACAGCCCTTGCTTCGCATGAACCGACCCACGCGCGACCACGCCGTCAAACACAAACAGCAGCACGCTCGTGTACGGCGGCAGCTGCGCTGTCGAGGCAGCCGCTTGGACTGATTCCACAGGAGGGCCGATCTCCACTTCGCAGACGCTGCACTCCGAGGAGGGCAGAAGCTGTGCGATGACTGTTTCCTCCTCATCCACCGCGAACGAACGCCCTCCTGAATTGCGGTCAGCGCGGTGTTGCCGAAGGGCCTGCTCCTTTGCAAGGACATCCAGTTCATGACTCACAACTCCCAACACGCCGTGCAGCGACGCCGCGCGGAAGCCGGAGCACGGCACCGCGGGGAGCAGCCGACTTAATGGGGAAGTCCCTGCTGAAGTCGCGGCTGATGACGCTGACAACGCGCTATCCGACAGGCATGGGAGGACCGCGACGAGGCTGCCGTACAGTTGTGTGCCACGCGCACCTGCCCACCGGTTTCGCTCGACGTCTGCCACGTACACCCAAAGAAGGTCGCTCGGCCGGAGAGGGAGCGCCGCCGCAGCGCTACTGGAAAGTGGTGCGTGTGTGTTGCGGGGTCTGGGGAGGGAAAGAGCCAACTGCAGCGGCGACTCCATCACGGTATGCCGCGGCACGCACTGCAACGGTGCTGGCGGATCGGCGGGTGTGTCCGGCGTCTCCCACAGGTCTGCCACGCCCACCAGCACACTTTGTTCGCTGCCACGGCCGTTTGACGCGGAGATGGAAGTGGAGATGGCAGCGACGTACAGCACCCGCATCTGGACTCCGTTCGTGCTGCTGCTGCTGGCAGTCGTTGAGGGAACCTGCACACCGTAAACCAGCAGAGGAGTCGCACGAGCAGGACCAGCAGTCGGAGTGAAGGGAGCCGCGAGTGGGCAGGGCAGCCGTACCGCCCCCGCCACACGCCGCCATTGATGCGACGCCGAAGAGGATATTCCTTTTGTGGTTGCTGTGGTGGCCGCACACGGCTGTCGTTGCACGACGAAGCTGTCCAGCAACACATGCGGTAGGGCAGAGGTACCCGTCCTTGCCCCGTCGTTTTCTGTCGCCTCCGTCGCGATCAGCACACGGCGACTGGAGAAGAACAACACGCCTCCGCTGCCTCGAACCGTCGAGTGGGCGAGTGGCGTCGCACGCGGGAAGGTGAAGCGCGCAGAGGTCGGTGTGGCAGGGCAGGAGGAGTTCATGCCCGACTGCGAAGGGCTCGGCAGCCACGTCAGCTCCCACGTGTACCCACACAGCCCTTCTTGGTTGTCGGGGTTGCCATCGTCGTTGGTAGTTGCGGTAGTATTGTTGGGGCTGCCCCCACTTTTCGAAGGCGACGACGACGAAGACCGCTGCGCTGTTGTGCAACGCGATCCACCTGTGCCGTCGCCACCAGCGCCCACCACCTCCACATGCAACGACTGGTGAACGTGCAGGGCGACCACCACCGTCTCATCGGCGGTCTGGTCGTAGCAACTCCAGCTGTGGCACGTCCGCGTTGTCACCGGCGCCTCTTCGACGTGGATGCCGGCGTCCGTCGCCTCCACACCGGCCTTACGCGTCATCCGCGCCGGTGGCGCCTTGTACGTGCGGCTGAAAAGGTGCGACATTTTTATTTTGGAGGGAATTAACCTGCGCGGTGCGCAGCTGGCAGCGAAAGAGAAAGTGAGAGAGAGTCAACAACGGTTGGACGTAGTGTACGCGAATTTTGGTAGCGGCACTCGACTGTCGGTGTAGCACACGGAGTTAGGGGTAAGAGAACGAAAAAGGAGGGCACGGGCAACAACAGGGGGCAGAAACAACGCGCAACGCCTGCGTGACAAGCTAAAACAACGACACAAACAGCAAGTTCGTATCACCTGCTCAGTAAGACGCTACTAAAAAGTACGTACAGGCGCAATCAAGACTTATTGAGTTCCTTTCCAAAAAGAAGAAAGAGAAAAAAGGAAGGTGAAGAGAGAAGTGCATGCACGGTGTGTGTGTGTGTGTGTGTGTGTGTGTAGACTATA